CGTATATACTCTTGTATTGGGGCACTAGGGTGTCTGGGGTGCAGGCGTGGACTCACGGACACGACTGGCAAAATCTCAAATCAAGAGGGCATGGGCATGCGGATATCCTGACGTGGAGAACCCATAGGGGGACACAGCTTGAAGAACTCCAGTTACTGTACAAGGTAAGTAACCTTTCCTTTCTGTGAGAGTTCTCAATTTGTGTGAAAACTTTCCCGAGGGCTTTCTCCCAGCCCTTCATCAAATTAGATAATTAACATTCAAACTGGTTTTTACCTTTACACGTAACATTTATGTAGAGGAAGGCAGGCCAGTCTCACTGGGAGCTTTAGAGGTTAAGGTCTGGTGGGTAAGGTTTGGCTAGCAGAAAGATTGGCTTATTCTTCAGTACAAAGGTCTTATTAAATACACATGAGTCTTGCAATTCACCACTTTGATGATGGGTATAAAAGCAGGGAATCGCAGGGAGAAGGAGAGAGGTAGATAGAAGGGGATTAAAGCCTATTTAGGGAGATCTAGGACCTCAAAAAAGACAGGGAGAGTTCAGACCTGACCACACAGTAGACAGACAGATACAGCAGCCGAGCGATGTTGGTGATAAGCGAGTTTTTAGTAGCTCTGGTCATCTCTCTCTTTGTTGTGCAATTTCTGAAACTGAAGTGGGCATGTAGCCGGCTTCCTCCTGGACCAACTCCCCTCCCCCTCATCGGCACCATGTTGCAGATGGATTTCAAACGCCTGCACGAGACTCTCATTAAGGTATTGTGAATGTGTGTCCAAATATAGCCAAGTAAATGATAAAATTAGCAAAACGCAGCAGCTGTAGAATAAAGCACTTCTCTGTGCTAAATAACATTTCATCTGGCTTGTGCATGGGACAGTAAATGAGGGCCACAAATTCCATTACCTGTTAGCAATGAAAGTGTGAATTTAGTGGCATTTGCTAAGCAGAAGATTGAATGAGAACGAAGTATTCCTGACTCAGCAAAAAGAATTGACTTGCTTAAAGGGGGTGCGGTTCAAACCCAGATAGGTCATGAGTAGGCTCCTAAATGTATATGTAACTCCCTAGATAAAGTGAGATGATATTTTGAGGTGCTGAGCTCCCTCAAGTCCCACTGAAGTCAATGGGAGCTGCAGGTGCTAAATATGGATTTATTGAGGCACCTCTTTGGAAAAGTTCAGCCTAAATCTATTCAGCTGTTGCCTGGTTTCCTTCAGTATTTCTTGCTACATTTGCTTGTATCCAGGTATTTATGTTTCTGGGATGGCTATGCTCCTTCCCAGCCCGTCGTCCCTTCCAGCTCAATT